TGCAAATAGGTGGAGTTAAAATAGAACAATCCCACTCCATCAAACTGTTAGGCGTGAATATTGATTCTGATCTGAATTTTAGTAATCACATCAGAGAGGTGTGCATAAAGTCTAGTCAGCAAATTGGAGTACTCACGCGACTAAGGAACCTTATACCTACCCCTGCCAAATTGCAACTATTCATGGCCGCTATTTTACCCCATTTAACTTATTGCAGTACCGTTTGGCATTTTTGCAGAGCTTCAGATAGGCGTAAATTAGAAAGGCTACAGGAGAGAGCGCTACGAACAGTATTTAGCAGTAGATCGGACTCATACGAGAATCTGCTTCTACAGGCCCACAAGCCGACTCTTTTAACAGAAGGTTGCAAGATATAGCAATTCTAATGTTTAAAGCTAAGAACAACCTACTACCGAAGTATTTACCAGACCTCTTCAACCTAAACGGGGAAAGAGAAAAACGATACAACTTAAGGAATTCCGATTTTACCCTACCACGCTTTAACACTATTAAGTACGGGAAACATTCTCTGAAATATCTTGGGCCTTTTTTGCGGTCAAAGTTGACAAAGGAGGAACGTGGTATGGATAGTGTGAGTACTTTTAAACGTCGGATAAGGAAAAGAGACTTAACGCACATAATTGAAGACGGGGTCTGCAAGAATTGTTATTTATGCAATAGTTTATTTAGAAAGTGATCATAATTATGTAATCAGTGTATGTTTTTAAGTACGTTTGTAACTAGAGTTTTATTTAGAATATGGGCTACAATTTTCATAAAATTCTGTTTTTTCTTAATTTTTCTTTAATTAGTGTCACCAATTAGTGTGTAAAACGCTAGAACGACTGACACTTAAATAAAGTTTACTACTACTATACTACTACTACTTAAAGGCTCTTACACTCATTCCTTTCCTGAGAAAGGAAACATTATAAATTCAAAACTTTAATTTACCACACTGAAGTCCAATATGTGGTAATACTTTTCCCTTCAAAAACTTGCGCCCGATAGATATCTTCGTCCGTTCCATCTTAGCGGGTTAAAAACTTACAAGCTGTTATTAAGCCTTTTATACCTGACGTAAGTTTCAAACTAGACTACGAGTAGTCCCTCTTTCGATAAGTTCGTCGAGCGGGACCGTAAATAAACCGCGAGGAAAAAATGGGAGTTCGCGCGGCCATTATTTCTTGCAGTTTTCTTCTGGCTTCACGCACGAAGGACTAAGCGAAAGAGGGACAGCTCGTGGTCTAGTTTCAAACGCAAATACCAATTGAGAAGTTTAAATAAGAGTTTTATAATTTGTTTATTTTGTATTACCCAGCCGAGAAACAACAATTCAACGTAAGTGATCCTTGCCTGAACCTGAAGTCTACTTGGCATAAAACTCTCTTTGCTGCTCAATCGTTTCCGACAGCAAGCAGTTATACAACACGACACACCCACATATTCAGATGACGCATGGACACACAAGCAACCCTGTGAGGGCGTCCATTCATCATGCAAATTTATCGTACTTTTGAATTGGATGCGCGCCTTCTAAGCTAAAATAAATACTTCAACAGGATTTTGAAAATGGTAAATGAAGATATATTTCTTCGCTATAGCTACTCTTTTGTTCATGCCAAACTTACTGCTGGGGTTTATCAGAGGAAGCTTTAGTGAAAAGTTCTCAGCAGTCGACATTTACGGTCTAGCTGTTGTGGCTATTGCTTTCTTTATTTTCTTTTATATGCCAAAACATACAATCATTTCAATTACTTATTCTGGACATGCATCAGTTCTTCAAAGCGAAATATTTTCTTAAGTCTTCGTTTATCAACATTTCAAATTCGCCAAACAACCTGGAAACCCTATCCTCGAATAACTTTCTTTTTTTAGTGGTTTCTCACAGAAATGACTCAGCTTGAGGCTAACAAAATCAACCCTGAAAATAACCCCCTTTAGGGCATTACTACATTGATTAAATTATCATACATTTTGCGCGCGTTCCTGGTGGCTTTCTCACTGAAGCGCCTCACAGAAAATTGATGTACGCCGAGAGGTTTTTGCTACTTATTCGATCCAGTCAGATTAAGGTAAAGTCTTTGCAAGGATCAATGGAAGTAAAAAAGTTAGAATTTATCAATTTGAGAGTAACTGACTATTTGCATGACCTCAGTTGCCCGCGGAAATCTGTTAATATATTCCGAGATTATAACTGGAGCAATTTTCATGTTAATCTGCATAACTTTAGCCAAGGAATAATGAACAGTTTATATTATGTACACACAGAAAAATTGTCAACCCGGGGCAAGAACAGCGATGAAAAAAGCAAACTTTATTTTGGGCTAAATATCACTGCTGAAGGACATAATTTGTCGAGAACTTTAATCACGTAGACATGACCGGAACTGTTTTTTAAGAGAAGTAGAACGCGAAAAGAGGGCTTTGTTGTAATCTTAAAATATTATTCTCTATTAACAGGTGGATTTTTGTCTCTCGTATAAAACTAATTAGAATTTTGCGCACAACTTTTCTCATTCGTCACCATCTCTTCAGCAAATCTGTTAGCTCAGGTGGACGCTTTGAAAGTGAAAGCAAAATTTGTTTTGGCTCTAGAAACTTAACTTACAATGAAATAATTGGTCGCTAATTAAGCTAATGAACGTGAAATCAGTCATATTTGCAAGAGTGAACTCACGGCGTGTTTTCTACCTTGAACTTTTCACTTGCACTTTTCTTGCACTTTTCACTGGCGATGTTGTTGCTTCAGACCTCCGCACGAAAGTTGTTTACTGGTAATCTTGTTAACCTAGAGCACTTTTAAGTTTCAACAATCTTTGCATGATGCAGGCACAATGAAAGGGCTATTATAACTTACAGCTTTGTTTATGTGACATTAGATAACAGGCAATTATTTTACTGTAACTGACCAGACGTGAAATTTATCACGATCTATTACTTGTAAACCAACTGTCAGGTAGTTAGCTGGCATGTTTACCAATTTATACCCCAGGAACTTTTTTCCACAACAATGATACTTTTTGGTTTCACAGCAAGAAAATTTCTTTTTTCTGTGCGTATTTGGATTACAAGCCCGGGACACTTCAAAGTGCCATCAGTAGTGTTTGCATGATTCCTTTCACACCCAGGTAGGTACATTAACATGTCTGCGGTGAACATCAAGCTCTCGATCAAATAAGCGACCCTTGACTAGCGTCTGTTGTGTTCTTGAAGTTCCTCCTTTCATAGGCCTAAAGCTAAAAACGCCCCCTCTGGGATCACGAAATACAATTAATCTCTCTTACCTTCTTATTTCAGTTCTTATCCAATAGAAACGTGCATGTAACTGTTTTAATATCAAAAGGCAATATCAATAAAGGCAGTTTTAAATTGTTTGCTGAAGTCAATTCCTCTGCTCATTTCATCGGAGGTAGCTGCACGGAAACTTCAAAGTTGGTCTAGGCTCTGTAACATAGGAAACGATCTAAGGTATGTTAAGTTCCCTAAATTTCTCTTCTCGAAAGTATTTGAGTGTATTTAATTATCCCTCCCAAAAAGGAATTGTCAGCAGAAAATGTTTTGATTTTCTCGGCCGCAGCACTGGCCTTACTAGGGCGTTCCTCAAGTGCAGGATCCGTAGCTCGCTAGTTAAACGTAGCCGTTGTCTTTGGTGGAATTCTTTGCTACTAGTCCCAGGGCTATAGATGTTGCTCTTAAATCATCTGGAAACCCAGTCCACGAACGTTTTTTCGGCTTTATTGCGTTTTACCCGCGGCAATCAACAATTGCATCTTGGCGCCGAAAGGGAGCTGTCACGGTATAAGTAATTTTCAAATGAAGGGGAACCTCAAAACAAACGTTAAAAAAAAAGTAATACAAGGCATAAACAAAAATTAAGATTGTTAGGATTGAGAAAGACTGAAATGGATCGAAAAAAAAAAAAAAAAAAAATGGAAAAGTGTACATTGTTAAAAACTCCATTGATTACTGTACATGAAGAACACTTTGACCCCTAGTCAGATTGGAATTGTTTTCTTTATTTATGGATGCCTGTTTGGTATCTGTGTGCTACAAAAAAATATGTCTTAAATTGTTATTAAGATTGTCATGTGTAGCTTCTATAAAACATTACATGTACATGTACATTCATTTTGTTGCAGACTCCACTTTGCAGTGGCACAGTTTCCTCCTGGGTTCAGCCAGATGGAGTGCATGTCTCTCGTTACAGTGTGGCAAATTCACAGTCATCCCTGATTCACTCAGTACAGCCTTCAGACTGTACTAGTACTGGCTTTGTACTTGGAGGTGTAACCATGAAAATGATGGATGAAGTTGCAGGAATTGTGGCATTTAGACATTGTAAAAGCAATGTGGTTACAGCATCAATTGGTAAATTTCTTATTGTGTCAGGAAAAAATGCTATTATTGCAATTTGTTAACAAACAGTTGGTAACAGTTTACTGAATGATCATGTTGTAACATATAATTTGCGTGCAAACAGTTTTTATTACAGTATTAGTGGTCACTCAGACTGTTCTGTTGGAAATTTGTTGGTCCAAAAAATATCCACACCCTCCTCAAAAAATCATTTTTAGTTTGCCACCCCCACCCCCTGCACAACACTTTTGGAAATCCAGCTTAGCTTCCTACATGTGTTTGTTTGTGTAAACAATTTGGAGTTCCAGGGGATCTTTTTATTCAAGGGAACAAGGGATATTTTGGGGGAGTAGTTTGAGGGAATAGGGGATATATTTACTATTAGGGGGGACTTTGACCAAAATGTTTAGGGAACAAGGGAGTTTGTAAATAGGGAAAAAGGGAGAAAAAGTGAAATTTTCAAGGGACGAAGAGAACATGCTACTGCCCTTGCCCCCCCCCCCCC